ACCACAGACCGCACAACATGCCAGGCTCCTGAGCCAGGCTTGGTCCAGCCTCTGCCCACCCAAGCAGGGCAGGATCACTGAGCTTTTGCTCCTGATGTAGCAGCCAGAAAGGGGAGGCAGAATTTGGCTATGAGGAAGGCTGTAGCACTGACCAAAGACCCAACAGTCCATTTTCAACCGCTGAGGCAGCAAAACACCAAGGGGAACACCCAGGCAGAGCTGCAGCAGTGCTGCCTACCACCGAGACCCCCAGTCTCCACCTGCCCATGACCAAGGACCTTTTCCAACAGCGTCACAGATGACAAGCTCAAGGTGCTGCTTACAAACAGTGGACTTTCGCTGGCAATTGAGGTGTGGAAGGCGCAGCCTGTGGGATGTGCCAGTTCCTGTCTCCCTCCTCTCGTTCCCAGCTGCGTCGGCTGTCCTGATGCTCACGGAGTCTGCCCTGTGCCATGCTCCAGGCACACTCCTGTGCCTGATAGTCATGCTCAAGGCTTGACCAAGGATGCTTTCCAACCAACCGACTCATCAGCATTAGCAAGGTGGGCACTGAAGCTACTTCTGTGCCACAACAGTTGGCAGATTATTCCCAAAAGGGACACTGTCATCTCTGAGTAAATGTGATCTTGTTTTATGTCTTTTTTTTCTAAGCAAGATCCAGCAGAGAAGATGCCTCCACAGCAAGTAGAAATTAACTAGCCAGCTTGAAGCTGGAAGTGGGGAGGAGGAAAGCAGTGCATAGGGACTAACCAAACCAGGAGGAGACAGGCTTCACATGACAGCTGAGCAACCCCTGCACACGCCGCTCTCAAGCACAGCAGACACCTTCAGCTGCAAATCAAGACAGGAAAAGCCTGCATGCAGCAAGGAAAAGTTACCAACCAGGACCACACCTTTGCTTTTCACTACTCAGTGGTATCAGACCCCCAAACTACTGATGTTTCAGAAATTGGAAGACTGTTTCTTGTCTGCAGAAATACAACATATTCGCACTTTCCATCCCTCTTTCCCTACCTGAGGGAAGACGAGGCTGGTGCAGCTCCACACTTAGTGACAGAAGAGACATGTAGAGGCAATACCTTCATGTCTCCTTATGCCAGAAGATCCAGCTCCAGCCAGCACCGTCTTAAGTTTAGAAACAAAAGTTAAGCCTGGACTGAGAAAGACCAACTGTCCAGCAGGTTAACCCTCTGATTTAAGGCCAGGGAAGGCTTTCCAGTGAGGTTTTTACAGAACGGCTAAGTTTTGACAAAAACAGCATGTTTTGTTTCAACCCCAGCTGACAGCAGCACAAGCAAGCTTGCCTGGAGGACATGTTGCCTGCTGGGTGCTGACTCACCGCGTGTGCTCTCCCTGCGGGGAAGCAGAGCTTCACCCGCCTGCCTTAAAGTGGGTCACTGGATCTTACTGCCTGCTGCAGACTGGCTGTGCCGTGGCCTCAGCAGCATCACCAGGGAAAGCGAGGCAAAATCATCTGGCACTTGATTTCAGCATACTTGAGATGGCAGGAAGAGCAACAGGGACACCTGAAGACACCTGCAGAGACCTCTCTCCTGTTACTCACTCTCAGTTTAAGCCCCAAGCAGGCCAGTGGCTGCATTTAGTTGCAAGCTCTTGCCCACAGGATAAAGTGCCGAGCGATGCACCCTGGACGGTTTCGTGGAAGGCGGCTGAGTCACAGGGAAGCGGTCTCACCCGCTTTGGGGGCACTACCCGGCCGCTCCTCCCGCTTACCACCCTGCTCACGCTGCTGGAGACGGAGCAGGAGATCCCTCCCGGCACACGCTGGCCTCCAGACATGGTTTTGTGGTCTCGACCAAAGGCTGTGACCTCCAGTCTCCCCTGTCATTCCAAGGGATGTGCCAGCATCCCAGCAAGGACTCTCCTCCTTTCGGCCCTTGGGTTGTACCCGCAGGCGCGGCTGAGGCTGCTAAACTCCGGCTTGTGCTGGCTGGCAGCCGAGCTGTAACACGATGTTCTCATTGCTACTCAGAGCACAGCGTGAACAAACCTTGAGTGCACGCAAGACTAAAGCATCAGGAGAATGGGCAAAGCAAAACACTGAAGAGGGGAGGCGGCGGCACAGGCACCACCTCACCGGCAGCAATTGACTGCCTGACTGTGGCTTGCACCTGGTAGAGAGGATCAGTATAGGGATTAAGTTTCATCTTTGCACCTGGACAACGAGTACAGACGCCAAGGTGACATGCCCTGTTTTAATCACGCTTCTTATTTACAGCGAGGCTGCAGAGATGGCAGGCACCACGCGAACCCAACCGGTCAGGATCCCAGCATGAAAGAAGGTGTACACCTGAACCCGAATATTGCTGGCTGCATACAGTGATAGACAGCATAGATCATGGGAAGTGTTAGTTAATAACTAATGTTCAAACAAATGTTCTAAACCAACGTCAGTCACTAATCCTTTTCTTGGATTATCAGGTCAAAAAGACAGCAACATTATGTTGCTGTGAGTTAGCCTGGTCTGGAGGGACTGCTCTGTAGATGAGGAGTTTCCTTCCCTACACTGAGTAACAGTGGAGATTATTAGAGGCACAGAACTGAAAATTAAAAGCCTACCTTTTCCATCACTGAGTTTAGGAGCGCATTTCTTCTTATTGGCTCCAGTGTCATTCTGAGGGCCCAAATTCTGCCTTTCCCCTCCTCAAAGGTACTTCAAATTCTGAGCAGCATAAGGCAGTTTCTGCACAGTCTCCCAACCAGCTGTGCCTGCAGCCTCAACACCCGCCACTGGCACACTGATGGGCACACAAACAGCAAGCAAGGTGCTAAACCAGAAACCAAGCAACCAGCTCAGGTCAGTCACCCTACACATCCCCCTCATGCCAGCAGGTGCACCAAAAGACAGCATTTGAGACCAAAATTCAGCCACTGCACAGGGACTGAATAAAAACAAAATACAGTGATAGAAAGGCAAAATTTGACCACGAGACTTAAAAAATAATCATCTGAGTTTCTCATATCCTAGAAGTCCTGGAGAGGACAAAAGCCACTCTGAGTTACCATTTGGTGCCACATTGGAGGGACTGGTATGGACTCCAGCCGTGCTATGCCAGTTCATGGAGAAGTGGGAGAGGAAGAAAGCGAGATGCGGCCGAGCGGCTGCCCTGCAAACAGGTGGCTGCTACCCTCCAACGCTGCAGCAACTGGCTGGAGCCCCGCTGTCCCCACAGTGCTGGAAAGATGCACTGGGCAAAGCAGAAGGAACATCCCGTCCCTGCGCTCAGGGCAGCCCCAGAGCTGCTCCATCCCTGAAAGTCAGACGTCTCCTCCCAACCACGCATGGCTGAAGGCTCCAAGCAAACGCGGCTCTGGTCCCTCGCCACTCCCATCCTTTACAAGGGCCATGTTTGCAGTCACAAACAAGAGAAGGATCTACCTTATGCGTTAAGAAAAAAAATAAGCAAAACCCCCCTTATGTGTGTTTTGCTAACATGGACATGGCACAGACAGGTCACTCTGTGGTACACACCTTGGGTGTGATATCTCACCATCTTCCTCCTTTTCCTTCCTCACCTCCCCTTCTCCTTTGTCCTGCCCCATCCCACAGGCACACGCAGCCACCCACCCTCGTTACGGGCATACAGCATTTTGGCTACACGAAGCACAACAGAGTGCCACGTCGCTGAGCACCTAGAAGTGTGAGCTTCTTTTTCTTCCTCTTCTTCTTCTGCTGCTTTGAGGGCAGTGCCTGCGTCTGAGAGTCAGGATCACAGCTTGACCTGCTGCTGGGGCAGGCAGTGGGGTCTGTCATTACAAAACCAGTACTTGTGCCCCGAGCCTTAGATGACACCTCACCAGGGGGGACGGGCGGCACAACTGTCCTTTGGGCCGGCGGGGTTTTCTCCACACTTGCTGGCAGAGCAGAGGAAGGTGTCCCAGGGCTCCCCGGGGAGGGTGCAGTACCTCTGCATTTTGGCACGCTGTCTGGAACCACTAAGGCTGAGCCTAAACGTACCTCGTCGTGGCCCTGGCTGGCAGGACATGCTCCAGGGGCCACATCCCCCCTGTCAGCTGCTGCCACGTGCTCCTCCCGGCGGCAGGATCTATCAGCTAAGCTGCTGTCCTCAAGTTTCACGCAGCTCTGGCAGGCCTCAAGCAACTGAGCGTGATTGACCAGCCCTGCCGGCCCTTCCCCAAGGTCGGCTGGAAGGACAGCCACCGCACGGGATGCCTCTGCCTGCCGGAGCGGGCCGGCAGCGCCAACGCTGGGTCTCAAACAGCTCTTATCACAGACCGCCACCGTTCCTTCTTCGCCGTTGGCCTTGGATAGGTCTTGGATGTATTCGGTGCATTTCTGCAGGCTTCCAGTCACCGCCTCGCTGGGGATGATGTCTGGATACGGCCCAGCACACTGGGCAGCTTCTGGCACCTCTGGGCAGACGGCACAGCTCGTGGAAGGCTTTGGTAAGAGGGGTGACCTCTCATCAGGCGAGTTAAAGCTGCGCGTCTGGAAGATCAGATCGGTGACATGCCTGCAGCAGTTTGCAAAAAGGCTGTTCCCCATGATCACAAGCAGCCCGGCTCATATAACACCAGATTAGAAAAGTTAGTTTTGTTTGCAAATCTCCTGTTTGCACACATATACTGAAGTCCCCACAAGGCAAACTCCCACGCGGCAGCCCTCGCCCTCCGCAGCCCGGACCTGCTTGCCTTCTCACGCAGTCAGCCGCCTTCTCCAAAGAAAACTCCTGCTTGGCCCCAGGGTGGCGGGAGGCAGAGGACCGGCAGCTGACTCCGCACGGTGTCCTGCGCGCCCTGAGCTCGCGTCCTCGCCAGAATCGGATGCTGGGCTTGCAGCGCTTCTCCCAAAGTGCCGGCCCAGTGACCTTCACCCACCATGCACCTTCGCCCCTCTCCCCGACTGCCGGGCTGACACCGTCACGATATCCACGAAGCCCAAAAGTAGCTCCCGGTGGCTGAAGCTCTCCTCTCCCCGCCGCGCCAGAAGAAAACCGGACGCGTATCTAAGAGGTTCCTCAGGCGCGCTCGCGGAGGGATGCCAGCCCGACCGCCCCGGCCCAGAGGCGGTTATAAATAGCCCGATCTCGAGTGCTGCACCAGTGCAGCATGGGACGAGTGCTAGAGCGCTTCAGCACTGCCAAACCGGTGAGCAAGTGAGATGCGTTGAATTACAAGGCGAGGGCAGTTACTATGGCACGCCTGGGCCCAGGCACAGCCATCCATACTAAGCAGGCAAGCACAAAACAGCCAGGCAGCGAACCAGTAAGTAGTTTCCAGACGAATCTTCTGTCCTCTCGCCCTGCTCCGCCATATCAAACACAAACAAACCACAAAACCACATGCACAACCCCCTAACACCGCTCCTCTCTCCGTGCTAATTTAAGAAATCCCGGCAACTGAAAGCAGGGATTACGGAGCTGGAGATTTCTGCAAGCACCAGGCACCCCGGGGAGGCTGCAGCCGAGCAGGCCGCAGCATGCCTCCCGCGAGGCCATGCCGCAGCCGCCTGCTCCTCGCCTTCCCCCGGCGGCATCGGCCAGGCATCCCGGCCCCTCCACACGCTGGCACGCATCCCGCGCTGGCACACGCGCCGCTCGGCATTCAGCTGCTGGGGTCCCTTAGCGGTCCCGGTTTCCTGGGACACAGGCGAAGAGCCAGATCTTTAAAACGCACAATGGGATGTGCAAGAGTTGCGGCCTGAACCGACCAGCCTTGGACCTGCCCAGAAAAGCCCTCGTGTCTGGTTAGCAAACCTGACAACCCCCCCCACTCCCGGGCAGCCCAAGTTTTGGCACAGGCTTCCTCGGCGAGTCTCCCGAGCGCTCGACACGGCTTTGTGGATGGGAAGGGGCACAGCTCTGCACTGAGCGGAAGAAATATTGTGCGCTACGTTCCTAGCACAAAAATCTCAAAACTAGAACAAAGCCAAGACCACACAGCTCACATGATCACTTGCTCAAGGCCAACACAACACACACAGAGGAAGGGCAATCCCTTCTCCAAAGGCGGCCCCGGGAAGGCCAGGAGCAGCCCCCAGAGCCTCCGTGCCAGCAAGCCACCTGCCAGGAGAAAGGCAGAAACTGGCTGAAAAACAGACCAAAAGCTCTCCACAGAAAACCCTGGCTAGCTTCCGTTGTCCTTTTAAAGAGAAGAGGAATCGGAAGAGAAGTCTCTCCCACTCCACCTCGTTTGAGCTCCTGCCCCAATACGGAAGGAGCCCTAGGAACCCCCATGGCTGCTCCCCCAAGGAGACCTGAGACCAGGCACCCTTCGGCCTTGGGAGCCAGCACCAACTTTTTGATCACATCAGCACTGGTAACTCACGTTTTTCTGATGATTTTTGAAGGAGTTTAAGATGTACTGACAGCTTCAACTCTTCCTCCTCATCAAGAGGCCTCTGGGAAGAGGCAAAATCTCCTCCTGGAGAAGTACCTGATCAGGAGGTCTCACGCAGCTGAGCAGCACTTCAACTCAAGCCAAAGCAAGTTCAGAGCAGTGTGGTATGTGCTAGCTTTAACACGTGAAGGCTGGTGTCAGTATAGCAAATGCAAATTAAATTTCAGCTGAATAATAAATTAAACAAAATAAATAGTTTAATGAATGTAAATAAATTGACTAAATGAATAGGCGTGAGCTCCAGAGATAGCCCTAGTGGAAACGTTTCGGCAGGACATCCCGTCAGGGGAGGTGGGAGACAGCACGGAGGTGCCTCCCTCTACCTCCCCAGCAGAAACCACAGCTTCCCAGCAACTTTCAGCACTTTAGGTGCAACAAGCACTTCTTTTAATAAGGGCCCACAGTGAAACGTTAGAGCTGCTCTACTGCCATCATTAAACTCAAATTGGTTATAACCCATCTGTGGGTAGAGGTATAAGCACTGCATTTATTTTTCAGCAGCTTTACAACACTGGGGACTGACTCGCATGGAGAGCACAGCGGGGCTGCAGCATGCAGCTCTCTCGACAAGGGCTCCAGGCTCACTGGTCTGGACGTCTCTCCTGTGGCACTAACAACCCATGGATGGCAAGTGGGGAAATTATTCATTCCTAGCTCTTGTGCATCCGCAGTAAAATTTGGCTGGATAGACCTAAGCAACTCAAGCCACATTCCAGCCTACTTAGAAGTTTGTGGCTTTTTTGTATTCCTATTGATACTGGGACATTTGCATTGCAGCTGTGCCCTAGGGCATTCATGGGGTCCCACAGCTGCTGGCTCAGGCACTTACAAGCCACTGAAATACCTCACACTTTGCATTTGGCACCCCGAGTTACCCACACTGTGCTCTCCACACCTGGGAACTACATTTAAACCCATTTGTAAACTTTCTATCTGGCCAAAACTTTGGAACCTTAGTCCCCAAACTAGCTGGCTGGGTGACCCTGCTACAACAACGTGCAATTCAAACATCACAGAAATCGGGAGCAAAGACTAGGACCCAAGGCAAAGTGCAAAGATCACCATCAACAAAAACATCAACTATGTTAGGAAGAGCATGCTTCTCAAATTTCAAGAGAAGAGAGCCAGATGAAGGAATTGCATTTCAGACAGATACCAAGAAACAGTCAATAATTCTCCAAGTACATGTTTTTTATTCTGGTGCATACCTTAGTTTCAGAAAGCTACTGAGACAGCGAGAGCCCAAGACAGTGAACTATCCCGTTAGACTGTGCATGCAGTGGGACCAGCAGAACATCAGGCTTGCAGCCAGAAGCAGCTGTGATGGGAGGCAAGAGCCACAGCTCCACAGTGTTGCAGGGAAGACTCCAGCTTCACCCTGTGCTACTACTGATGCTTGTCACCACAACCACAGCAGCTCTGGAGAAAACTCCACGCAGCACAAGCCTGGAAAGACCAACTTCGCCAGTCCTGAGAGCCCTATATAAATCTTAAACTGGGTGAGAGCCCCAAGACCTGCCAAGCTGACAGCAGCGTTCGCACGGGAGATCAGACGGCTGCGATGTTGTCCTCAGCAGCTCCCGCTGCCTTCCTGCATCCTGCGGCACAGATGTGCCGATTATCCCGCAGCCTCCCACCCAGCCAGCCCTGCGCCAGCTGCCCGCGGCTGCCCCGGGCCTGCTCGGGGCCGCACACAGCCCCAGGGAAACAGGCTGGGCAGCTGCTCCTCACGGCTCTGCAGTAGCGTGCTGCAGGCGGAAGCCTGGGAAACTTGCCTGTCCCGCAGAAACCCCTCTGCCAGGGACACCAGGCAACCCCATCCTACCTTAGTGCCATAACCCAAGCTGGCAGCAGAACCCACCTTAACCCCAGCCGAACCTGCACACTGAGCTTCCAGGCTGGTGTAGAGCGCTGCTGACGATAAAGACAGAGCCTTACTTACCCCCAGTGCCTGCTCGCAGGGCACTGCACAACACAGCTTGCTAACAGGCAATATCCACGTTACCATTTCCAGCCCCATCCAACCGCAACGGCAGGAGGGTAGCTAGCACAGTACCCGAGAAGGAGGGCTGGTGTCGGGCTAGTCCGACCCACAGGAGCTCTAGGTAAGCAGGGCGAGAGTCACAATCCCGCAGTTTTATGTTGTTGGACAGTAACTGCATAAAACTCCTCTGAGCCTGCACCTTTGTCAACAGGTCACAGCAGAGCTTTTCTCTTTAAAGAGAAGGGCAAACTAAGGAATGCTTTTTTTTTAAAAATATGCCATTACTCTAATGTCACTTAGTTATAGGGAACCTTACTTCAGTGGCCTGCTTCACGGGATTCTTCCCTCAGGACCGGTCAAGCAGCTGGCAAGAACCGCAGCAGTAATTTCTTCAGCTTGAGAAAAGAACTTCTGTGAGTGTAGATCTATTTTCCCACCCAAAGAGAGAAGGTTTGTCACCTAAGTGCCTCTGTACCAAATTGTCAAGAAAACGCCAGATAACCACTCGTCCCAGACTCATTAACGTTAAAGAGGTAGAACACAACAGAAAGTTCAACAGGCAAACAGGTACGTGCAAGCTCTGCTACATCAACAATGCACTTGCGGAAGGTGAGAACCAAATGCTAACCCTTAGACAGCCTTGCTACTACTGGCGAAAAACTGACCTGCTTCCAAAAAGCGACAGCCACTGCCACCACGGGGGTAGATACACTTTGGTTTTAATCTTTTGCGCTCTGTCCAAGCACTGCCCCGTGGACTGGTTTTACTTCTCAAATGCAGATTAAAAAAATGCATGAACTTCAGACCTCTAAAGCTTCTAGAAATAACAACTTTCTAGTACAACCAATAGAGCATGATGCAAGAAAGCAAAGCGAGCACTGGAGAGCTGCACCAGGAGAGGGGTGCACTGCCAAGTTTAGTCATTTACAGACAACGAAGACAAACACAGGACTCTGCAACACAATGCTGTTTTCACTGTGCACGAGGCAGTTCTGCATCTGCAGGTGGATTTATCTAGGTGCATGTTCCTGACCTACTTAATTCAGCTTTTCAGCTGGGAAACCCACGAGCAAGGCTGCTCAGGCAGAGCAGCAAGCTTCCAGTGGGAGCTCAACTCTGTTGAGCCCACCGGCAGAACTGCTCCATACGGACATGATCCCCTCGGGTTCCCATCCCCCATCTTGCCGCACAGATGCTGTGTTATCACACTCCTTTCCTCTTCTTAACCTTGTAGCGGTGATCAGATTTCTCTTGCACAATATTCCTCTGATTCTCCCCCCGAAGCCTGTTACAACTGCATATTAAAAAAACCCGACTGCCAGCAATTCAGCCCTTTCCAAAACACCAGCAAACCTCCAAGGTCGGGCAACAGACAGTGATAGCAAATCCCGAGATTAAGAATCAGTCTTCTGACCTTGCTACTAATGCACAGCTACACTTGCCTCCACAGCAGTTTTCCATTAACACCTGCATTCTCCGCTTTTTTTAACAGAAGACATGGCTGAAGATACAGGTGGCTGGGAAGAACAGGGGTGGAGGGACCTAGCTAGAAAAATCAAATCTTTGGGCAAGGCAAGGTTGGAAAGCATTTTATGGTAGCTAGAAGCACTGCTAAACTTGCACGTGAGAGAAACTTGTTCTAAAGCAATGACAGCTGTAGGAACAGAAATAATCCAAGAAATGCTGCACACAATGGCCATCTCCTGATCTCATGCTAGCTAGTAAGAAAGGTAACTTAATCCATAACTGCACCCATCAGAAATCATTACAGGAACCCCAACTGTTCATGTTTTTGTGTGCTTCTGCACTCCAAAGGACAGCATGGCCCCAACAGTTTTGTCTAGCTTGGAGGTGGAGGGAAGTAGCCATCAGCCCTCTTGCCTGTTAGAGGCGGAGAAAACAACTCCCAAGTCCCGACGGCTGGCACAGCAGAGGGGTATATTTCCTCAGCGAGAAGGCCCCTCGGAGCCTGCCCAGCGGTACCGACAGTCTCCTTCAGACAAAACAGGGTGCCCAAGACGAGGTGCTCTGCAAGCCACACAGGCAGCGGCAGGTACACCAGAACAGAGGCCGATTTTCCCTGGCAGAAAGAGAGGCCTGGGAACCAGAGCTCATAACGCTGCCGATGCCAAGGCGGACAGGCTGCCCCCACGTCTGCTACAGCACAGTACCTCTACCTGGGAGCCGTTCGGCCAGAGGCACCGCCTCAGCCCCAGGCTCCCAGACAGGACAAGAGCCTTCCTCCTCCTCCCCCGACCCATGAGCTGCCTGAGCATTCGTGCAGCGCTGAAACGGGGAGGATTTTTCCACCTCCCTGCCTCCTTCAGCAATCAGCTTGCGCCCTGAGAAGCAGGGATTACACAGCGTAACTTTTTAACCCAGTTGCTGGCACTGCAGGCGTGACGCCGGCTTTAGAAACGGGCGTGCGGGGGGGAGGGCGAGGCTTTCAGCACTGCGCTCCCCACTCTTGAACTGCGTCCAGCCTGCTCCAGCACCGAAGGCTGATGAACTTTGCTTTAGGTGACAAACTTCAAAAATTCACCTCTCCACCGTAAAATCAGGGGAGGGCGGAAATGGCGGGTCACTCGCTCAGCGGATACAAGTGCCTCAGGTCGAAGGCCAGCCACAAACCACGCTGCTTCTACCCTTTTTTCCTGTACGTTAAAGATCAGAGAAAAA